GAGTAGCTGGGACTACAGGCGCCCGCCACCACGCCCGGCTAGCTTTTTGTATTTTTTAGTAGAGATGGGGTTTCACTGTGTTAGCCAGGATGGTCTCGATCTCCTGACCTCGTGATCCGCCCGTCTTGGCCTCCCAAAGTGCTGGGATGACAGGTTTGAGCCACCGCGCCCGGCCCCACTTGCTGTTTTCAAAATGACCACAACTGTCACACTGACACTGGCTGGCCATATTTATTTATTTATTTATTTATATTTTATTACTAATTTTTTTGAAACGAAGTCTCACAGTGTCACCTAGGCTGCAGTGCAGTGGTGTGATCTCTGCTCACTGCAACCTCGGTCTCCCAGGTTCAAGCAATTCTCCTGCCTCAGCCTCCCGAGTAGCTGGGGTTATAGGCATGCACCACCACGCCCGGCTAAATTTTTGTATTTTTGGTAGAGATGGGGTTTCACCATGTTGGCCAGGCTGGTCTCAAACTCTTGACTTCAAGTGATCTGCCTCCCTTGGCCTCCCAAAGTGCTGGGATTACAGGCGTGAGCCACCGTGCCCAGCCTATTTATTTACATGTATTTTTTGAAACAGGGTCTCACTCTGTCACCCAGGCTGGAGTATGGTGGTGCAATCTCAGCTCACTGTAGTCTCAACCTCCTGAGCTCAAGCGATCCTCCCACCTCAGCCTCCTGAGTAGCTGGGGATACAGAAGCATGCCACCACCTCTGGCAATTTTTTTTTTTTTTTAATAGAGATAGGGTCTCACTATGGCACCTGGGCTGGTCTCAAATCCTGGGCTCAAGCAATCTACCCGCCTTGGTCTCCCACAGTGCAGGGATTACAGGTGTGAACTACCACATCCAGTTGACTAACCATCTTTAGAACAGAACTGACTTCCAACTTCCTGCCTCCCACCTGTACCCACACCTGTCTGCAGTGAGCCTGGAGCGAGGCAGGACCCTTGACACTCACCCTTCTAGAGTCTCACACCTGAGGGTCTAGAAGGGCTGCCGGACCCCCAAGATCATGACCCACCATCTCCCAAGCCCAGGACCTGTCCCTGGGAGTGACGGGTGAGTCATCGCGGACTGTCTTCCCAGAGGCTCCATTTACAGATGAGGAAACGGAAGCCTAGCTGCTGAATCCTTTTTTTTTTTTTTTTTTTGGACAGAGTCTCACTCTGTCACCCAGGCTGGAGTGCAATCTCAGCTCACTGCAACCTCCACCTCCCAGGTTCAAGTGATTCTCCTGCCTTAGCCTCCCAAGTAGCTGGGATTATAGGCATGCACCACCACACCTGGCTACTTTTTGTATTTTTAGTAGAGACGGGGTTTCACCATGTTGCCCAGGCTGGTCTCGAACTCCTGACTGCATGTGATCTGCCTGTCTTGGCCTCCAAAAGTGGTGGGATTACAGGCATGAGCCACCACACCCAGCCTCTGAATCATTTTTCTAAGAGCATGGCCAAGCGGGGGCCAGGAGCCTACCTGCTCCACCCATGGGGTCCCAGCTCCTGGGCGCACCCCTGAGGGTTGCAGGCCTCCAGCCCCCAGGCAGCCTGTGCCTTACTCATGTTGGCGGTGATGATGACCAACGGCCACAGGTACGTCCGCTGCATGTTGCGTGCCATGTTGCTGAAGTAGCCCTCGAGGCGCCGGAGCAGCTGTGCCGTGCCACCCTCACTCCACTGGATCTGCTCCCACGCCGCCCTGGTGGCCGGGGCAGGAGGGCACTGCCCGAGTGGATGACATCCTGGTCAGACAGCGCTCAGTGCTCAGCCTGTGGAGGCCTGGCTCGCAGGACTGACGGACACCTGCCCTGAAAGCCTTTGCTCGCCTAGAGGGTTCATTCATTCATTCCACCCCTACACTTTAGATTGTGCTCTTTAATATTAGTTTCCAATTTTTTTTTTTTTTTTTTTTTGAGACAAACTTTTGTTCTTGTTGCCCAGGCTAGAATGCTTTGGGACAATCTTGGCTCACCGCAACCTCCGCCTCCTGGGTTCAAACAATTCTCCTGCCTCAACCTCCCGAGTAGCTGGGATTACAGGCACACATGTGCCACCACACTGGCTAAGTTTTGTATTTTTAGTAGAGACAGGGTTTCACCATGTTGGTCAGGCTGGTCTTGAACTCCTGACATCAAGTGTTCCGCCTGCCTCGGCCTCCCAAAGTTCTGGGATTACAGGCGTGACCCACTGCACCTGGCCTAGTTCCCAAATTTTTTAAGTTTATCTTAAGAGGAACAGAAAAATGTTACTAAGCTCACAAAGTATATTAAAATCCAGAGAATTAAAGATGTTCCACATTTTTTGGTTAATTTATTAGATTTAGAAGCACGATTTAAATGCTTGGAAGGTCTGTTTGCTAGCCAAACAACTGATATATGAGAAGAAAAATCAATATATGATGTATATTAATCTCATTTAAAATACTTAAGGGAATTTCATGGTCTGAGTTAATAAATAGGATCAAACATTAATCAAAGTTGAATTCAAAGAGATAATGAAGTCATTTTTTAACATATGATTTTCATAAATCCCGAACCCTACCATGTAAACTAGAGAGACTGTGGATGATTCAATGTCAGAGGCCAGGACTCTGTCGGAGTGAGCCCCACCAGGGGTTTTTCCACGTATACCCCAAGATGCTAAGGCGGGGAAGACATGTGGAGATGTTCCTGTTATATGAGAATTCCTCCTGAACCCCACCACGTAAAGCAGTGATGGAACCACCACACCCGGGGCTGAGCAGAGGAGCCACACTGAGGCCGCCATGGACATGCGGACAGCTCCTCCGAGGGCGACCCTCCGCCTCTGTGCACCCCGGGGTCTATGTGAATGACTGGGTGGAGGCGTGGGGCTATGCTCAAGAGTTTGGAGACTACACCCAAGACAGAAACCGGGGCCGGGCACGGTGGCTCACACCTGCAATCCCAGCACTTTGGGAGGCTGAGGCAGGTGGATCGCCTGAGGTCAGGAGTTCGAGACCATCCTGGCCAACATGGTGAAACCCCATCTCTACTAAAATACTAAAAATACTAAAAATACAAAAAATTAGCTGGGCGCATGGTGGTGGACACCTGTAATACCAGCTACTTGGGAGGCTGTGGCAGGAGAACTGCTTGAATCCCGGAGGTAGAGGTTGCAGTGTGCCAAGATCATACCACTACACTCCAGCCTGGGCAACAGAGCAAGACCATGTTTCAAATTAAAAAAAAAAGAGAAACCAGGAGGAAAGCTGCTTGCAGAGTCACACATGGAGAACAAACACCACTGGCCTAACTCTCAGGCTGGGACTCAAATCCCAGTGAGGGGACCCTTCCTGGTCTCTGGGGGCCTTGTGCAGACCAGAAGATCTCATGGGGGCCCTGCGTAGATGACACAACCAGGTTTAGTGTTGGGAGCAGAAGACCAGCATGGGCTAGCCCAGTCCCACCACCTTAACAGAGGGGCTGTGATCCTCCAAGCTACCCAGGGAAGGTGCCACCTGGGTGCGCAGCTGGTCCCAATGGCCAGAATGTATGCAAGTCCAAGCGTGGTGGCTCATGTCTGTAATTCCAGCATGTTGGGAGGCCGAGGTGGGTGGATCAGGAGTTCAAGACCAGCCTGGCCTACATGGTGAAACCCTGTCTCTACTTAAAAAATACAGTAATTAGTTTGGGGGCGGGGGGTGCACTGGCCTGTAATCCCAGCTACTCAGGATGCTGAGGCAGGAGAATCACTTGAACCCGGGAGGCAAAGGTTGCAGTTAGCCTAGATTGAGATGGTAACACTGTACTCCAGCCTGGGCGACAGAGCAGGACTCTGTCTCAAGGAAGGAAGGAAGGAGGGAAGGAGGGAGGAAGAGAGGGAGGGAGGGAGGAAGAGAGGGAGGGAGGGAGGGAAGGAAGGAAGGAAGGAAGGAAGGAAGGAAGGAAGGAAGGAAGGAAGGAAGGAAGGAAGGAAGGAGAAGGAAGGAAGGAAGGAAGGAAGGACAAATGGAAAATGTTAGCTTAAGCCTTGAGAGCAGGCAGGTAGGGAAAGACAGGTCTGGGCGCCCTCCTGGCCCAAGTGGGCTCAGAGGCCCTGCATACTCTGGTGGGGGGTGCTCTGAGGGGCAGCAGGGGTCCTGGTGGAGAGTGCTGGCAGGAGGAACCCCAGAGCCATGGAGCCTGGGGGTGGGATCAGATCCCCTCGCATTGCCTGCTCTGCTGGCTCAGAACCCAAATCCCTCAAAGTGAGGAGTCCCACTCACTGAAAAGCAGTTTTTGATTCAGACTTCCCCCAGGCCCTGGGAAGCATCCTTATTGTCCCGAAAGCTGTGCAGGGTGAGACCACTCCTTCCCTCCCACCCCCAAGAAGGGTCTGTACACAGTAGGTGCTCAGTCCATGCATGACAGCAGGTGACGCTGGGGCCCCTGGGGCTTAGCAGCCCGAAGCCCAGGAGTTCTCCGCCTGGTGCATGTGGGGCTCACCCTGGGAGCAGGGCCGGGGTGTGCCGGCTGCTCTCCCAGCTGTGGACGCTCACACACACCCTAGGTACAGTCTGGCAAGGGCTGCCAGGCTGGGGAGGCTGTGCCTGGGTTTTCCCTGGGGGTACTTCGAAGTAAAGGGTGTTCTTTTCCTGTGCACCAGTACACGCTTTGGTCTCATTCATAAGGTTTGATTTTTTTAAACATGCAATCCTACACTTTGGAAGGCCGAGGCAGGTGGATCACTTGAGGCCAAGAGTTCTAGATCAGCCTGGCCAACCCCATCTCTAGTAAAAACACAAAAACACAGCAGGGTGTGGAGGCGCACACCTGTAATCCCAGCTACTACGGGGTTGAGGCAGGAGAATCGCTTGAACCCAGGAGGCAGAGGCTGCAGGGAGCCAAGATCGTGCCACTGCACTCCAGCCTGGATGACAGAGCGAGACCCTGTCTCAAAACGAACAAATATGCAATTCTTTTTTTGTTTTGTTTTTGAGATGGAGTCTCGCTCTGTTGCCCAGACTGGAGTGCAGTGGCACGATCTCGGCTCACTGCAAGCTCTGCCTCCCGGGTTCATGCCATTCTCGTGTCTCAGCCTCCCGAGTAGCTGGGACTACAGGCGCCCGCCACCATGCCCGGCTATTTTTTTTTTGTATTTTTAGTAGAGACAGGGTTTCACCGTGTTAGCCAGGATGGTCTCAATCTCCTGACCTCGTGATCCACCTGCCTCAGTTTCCCAAAGTGCTGGGATTACAGGCGTGAGCCACCGCGCCTGGACAGTTTGGTTTTTGAGACAAAGTCTCGCTCTATCACCCAAGTTGGAGTGCAATGGCATGATCTCGGCTCACTGTAACCTCCCCCTCCCAAGTTCAAGCGATTCTCCTGCCTCAGCCTCCCAAGTACCTGGGATTACAGGCACCCTGCCACCTCAACCAGCTAATTTTTGTATTTTTAGTAGAGACAGGGTTTCACCATGTTAGCCAGGCTGGTCTCAAATTCCTGACCTCAGTGACCTGCCTCCTTCAGCCTCCCAAAGTGCTGGGATTACAGGTGTGAGCCACCACACCCAGCCCCAGTCTTTCTCCTATATGTGATTTACATTGGTTTTCACAAAAAATTTGTAGCTAATTTTTTTTAAATTTTTAAATGTTTTGTAGAGATGGGATCTCACTATGTTGCCCAGGCTGGTCTTCAGCTCCTGGTCTCATGCAGTCCTCCCACCTCAGCCTCCCAAAGTGCTGGGATTATAAGCCTTTGCCACTGTGCCGCTGTGCCTGACTCTGCATTTTCACTTTTCATTACTTTTTCAGCACTCCTCCCTTAATTCCTAGTACCTCCTAAGACTTCTGTTGAAGCTCACTTGCTTAATTCCTGTTTGTGATTACACGATTTTATTTTTTGGAAAGGGTCATTGCCAGGGCTAAGCATAGTGGTTCATACCTGTAATCCCAGTATTTTGGGAAGCCAAGGCAGGAGGATTGCTTGAGCCCAGGAGTTCAAGACCAGCTGGGCAACATAGGGAGACCCCATCTCTTAAAGGAATTGTGACACATGCATGTGGTCCCAGCTAGTTGCGAGGCTGAGGTGGGAGGATTGCTTGAGCCCTGGAGGTCAAGGCTGCAGTGAGCCATGATTGTGCTACTGCACTCCAGCCTGGATGACAGAGCAAGACCCTGTCTCAAAAAAGAAAAAAAGCCCAGGCGTGGTGGCTCACGCCTGTAATCTCAGCACTTTGGAGGCCGAGGCGGGCGGATCACGGGGTCAGGAGATCGAGACCATCCTGGCTAACACAGTGAAACCCCCTCTCTACTAAAAATACAAAAAATTACCTGGGCGTGGTGGCGGGCATCTGTAGTCCCAGCTACTCAGGAGGCTGAGGCAGGAAAATGGCATGAACCCAGGAGGCAGAGCTTGCAGTGAGCCGAGATCGTGCCACTGCACTCCAGCCTGGGTGACAGAACGAGACTCCGTCTCAAAAAAAACAACAAAGAAATAGGAAAAGAAAGAGTCATTGCTTGGTGTTCGTTTTTCACTTTTTAAAGAGTGGAGAGTAGTTTTTAATGTATTTAAAACATTTCTCAAAATGGAACAAACTGGGTAATGTTTTTTTAGTTGTTATTTTAACTAGGGGCATTTCTTCTTTCCTCAGTCAAGCATCAAAACTTGGAGACCAGATGGCAGATTTGCACCTTTACAACCAGAAGCTCAGGGAGAAGTTGAAAGAGGAGAACACAGTGGGTATATTCAGATTGCTTTTGGGTACCTTGACCCAGCCACATTGTCTACCCTAGATTGGTGCTCATGGTACTTCTTGGTGGCATTTCAATAATAGGTTCAGTGGTATACTGTTTCCCTTTACACTACTTATGAAAATGAGATTTTTTTTTTTTTTTTTGAGACGGATTCTTGCTCTGTCGCCCAGGCTGGAGTGCAGTGGCACGATCTTGGCTCACTGCAAGCTCCGCCTCCCAGGTTCACGCCATTCTCCTGCCTCAGCCTCC